TATGTATGTGTGTGTGTGTGTTGGTTGTGTTGTTGACGGAAATTAAACGTTACGACGACATTTTGGAGCGCGTGCATGGCACATGTAATACGAAATGTGAACTGGTGCATGCTGCATTCTGAATGCCACTTGCAATGCAATCCGCTGCCAAGTTCCGTTGCTGTTGCTACTGCTGTTGTTGTTGTTGTCGTTGCCGTTGCTATTGCTGTCTCAGTCTTTGCATCTCTGTCTCTTGTTTTTGTGAGGCTAGTGGCCGAATGGACGCCATTGTTGTTGCTGGCTGCTGCTGCTGCCATCGCTGTTGTTGTCATCATCACCATCAGCACCATTACAAGTAATGAGTGCGGTCGGTCCGTGGGACGATGGGACGATGGGACGATGGGACATTGGTTGGTTGGTTGGCTTTCGTAGGCAGAGTCGGCTACGGTCATTGCATGAAAATTGTTATCTCGCATACTGCAGACGATTTCCGGCAGGCATATTCCCAACACAAGACACAAACACAAGCGACTGGCTTTTGCCTGTCTGCCAGTTCTGTCTGTCTCTCTGTCCCTCTGTCCCGCTTCCCTCTGTCCACCACGTCCACCACTCACTCTTCAGTATTCTGAATATGTTTGTGTGTTTGTGTGCGTGCACTGGCATCAGTGAAATTAAGTCGCACCGTTTGCAAACGACAATGGACCCACAATGGCGCACATCATTGCATTGCCTCGGCGACTCACCCCATTTCGTTCCCATCCGCACCGGCACCCGCACCCGTACCTGCACCCGCACCCTCATTCTAACATTGCAAACGTTGCGCGCCATTTTGTTTGCTTTTCCGCTGGCTTCATTTGCTTTGTGGCAGCACCGCCAGCAGGTGGACATGAAGAACTTGACGTTACTGTTACTGTTACTGTTGCTCTTCCTCTCCTTCCCTTCTTCTTGTTGTTGCCTTGCCGTTGCTGTTGTTGCTGTTGTTGTTGTTGTAGCTTTTGCTATGGTTGCGTTTATTTCCATTTCACTTAACGCTAATTAAGTGAATTGTTTTGATCTAAAATGAGCAACCACCAATCAAACCAAGGCGGCCATCTACACAAGAAAAATATACTGTACCTAAACATTTTTAAAGGTCTTCCCAATATGCTAATACAATCCGCTTTTGAATGTCGCCCTTGCGTACACGAATACACGAGCAGAAATTAAAAACAAAAAATGATAATTAAAGAACATTTCCTCTAGAAATTTACTCAACATTGAAAGCCAAAATCGAGCCATGGCCTCAATTTTCCCATACAAGATGTTAGTCAATAAGTTGTTATTTTTTTGTTGAAATCATGCTTTGAAATAAATATATAACCACTTCCTTCATCCAAATTAGAAATAAGATGGGAATTACATTAACAACTAACGTAGCCCAACTCTGAAAGAAAAGCTTTATTTTCCTACTTACTTGTAGTTCTACATTTTTTATTTATTTTTTTAAAACCAGCATTGAACGAGTGTTGCTCGTCTCTAATAGTTGTTTACTTTTTATATTAATTAATTTTAAGTTTTCTTCGTTTTTTTTTAGTAATTTATACTTTATGTTTGCTTATATGTATTTATTGATAGCTTAATTACGGCATTTCCAGAATTAAAGTAAATTAAAAAAAACTTTTAACAAAAAAACCGTCTTTGGATCTAATAAATGGCTTTCTCTTAGACTCCAGAACTCGACCAAATTTAAATGGGACCACACGGAAAATACCAGGTTTTAAATAAAAAAAAGAATTATCCAAATCGGTTCACCCAAGTTCTGAGATATCATTCATTACAAAAAAAGAAAATTAACACTAGAATTGAACTTAATCCCTTTTTTTGAAGTCAAAAATACATTGCAGTGTTGATAGATTGTTGTGCAAATGAAAATTGTTTGGTTTTTTTTATCAAGAAATGATTTTCCATAGATTAATAGTCTTACTCGACGCAAAAAGTTAAATATAGTATATAATTCGTTACTATTCATGCAACTTGTTGTAACTTCTTACACATCAAACTAAGATTAAGACCGCTTTTAAATACTTATACTCGAAACTTTGCTATACAATTTATTTATTTATTTATTACAAGTTAATAAGAGAGGTTTGTTTAACTAGGCCATACCTGATAGGTAATGGCGTTTCCGATTTGAAAACACAAACAGTAATTTTGGACAGAGCTGCAGGACAACGTTTATGGGTAGGATATCAATTGGCTTTGACGATTCCCATCAAGCCCATCAGTTGAGCCATCTTCGTCGTCGTCGTCGTCGTCGTCGTCATCGTTATCGCCTTCGCCATCAATGCTGGCCAACTGCGACTTATCTGCGTGTCATAAACCCATTTTAGCCGCTCTCACGCAAAACACATCAAAGTAATGCACATAGCAGCTAGCGAGTACAAAAGCGATATGCCGAATAAGCCATGTGGCCTTTAGAAAATGCTTCCAGACGCAATGACTATGATGATGTTGATGACTGCGATGACTGCCGCCGGCAATTTGGCGGTCGGGCTGTGGGCGGTGGCTAGGCATAATAACGGATTTAGGTTTACGTCGGCGCCTTAAGCGCCAAAGCAAATTAGCTCGTATTCAATACTTTGGGGGCCCTACTCGTATCTCGAATCTGTGTTTGTGAGGCCATTTTGCCGCATACAAACTCATACGCACGCAGAAATGCTCATCAACACACACACATACACACATACAGTGTCCCACTCATATCGTTTCACTTTCACTTCCCCAATGCTGCAATGACGTTGCTAATGAGCACTAATAATAATAATAATACGCTACTAAATTTAGAGGACGATACCAGGCTCATTTTGGACGGATGTGTTTGTGTGTGTGTGTGTGGACGTGTGTGCGATTATATATTTTATGTGCCTGTGTAAGAACATACATACCTTCCCAATTGATTCGCATGGCTTATGGCTTTCGAATACACATACGAGTACTAGTACCTCTCAAATAAACTGTTTACCCAATATTTGCACAAACTGATTTAGGTGGAAATTTTTAAAATGCATGAAATATAAATAAACCGCGTACATATACAAAGAGTTTACCAAATGCTTATTTATATAGCTTGTTCAACATTTACATGAAAACTCAGTTCCATAAATTTCAAAGAACGAAAAGCAAATAAACGCATTCAGCGACGTTGAACCATTTATAAAAATTGCAATGCAAGCGAATTGAAATTCAGATACATTTGCATTCAATTAATATTACTGACTCCTGTCACTTACTCGTAAGCATACATTTTGCATTTAATATCAGATATTACAGAAATTGAATTGTTGTTAACCAAACCACACACAAATTGTGTGCACATATTTGTCGTTAGCTGGAAAGAAACAAAATATAAATATGTATCAACTTGGATAACTAGGATAAAATTTATTGGAAACATTGCAATACATGCCATAAAATTCTTATAAATATGCTGAATGGTACTTCCATTCAAGAAAACAGCAAGTTTCAGCAAGTTCCTTTAAAAAAAAACATTTGCTGCTCTGCATACTTTTATGGCTTACTTTTTGGCACCACTTTATATATTTAACATCAAAAGTGGAAGTTTCTCAACATCTTCTCCGTTCGAAAATAAAAGTAAATGTCCTCAACCAAGTTCAAATAACATTTACATTAAGAAAGGGCAATTGAACAGAAGTACCTTGGCTTGCATCTTGAATGCGGACTTACATGGAAAACTCATATTAAGGCAAAACGGCAGCAACTTAAATTAAATACATAACGTATAAAATGTCACAAACCAGCCTAGAAAACAAAGTTCGCCTCTATAAAGCCATAATAAAGCCTGCCTTAAAATGTGGGGTACTGCTAGCAACTCGAATATTGAAATTCTGAGCCTTACCAATCAAAAGCAATAAAATCCATAGTTAATGTTGCTTTTTACATTTCAAGTGCATGCTTACACAAAGATCTAAGAATTTCTTATAAAAAAAGAAGTAATAAAAAATTTTTGGTAAAAAACACATTGATAGAATTCACGACCACGAAAATATGCCCGCCTTATATATAACAGATAATAGTCTAGCAGTAAGAAGACTTAAAACCATCAAACCTCATTCTCAGCTAGATAAATCAAAGAGAATATAATTCAACCAAAAATAGAAAATAATTGAAATATAATAATACGTTTCAATGGAAACTTTCAATACGCTTGTATTCCTTTCTAAATAAATACAATGTAACAAAAAAATCTAACAGTTTTCGGAAGCTCACAATCACACAATTCCTAATATTAGTTCCGACCCATTACTGACTACCAAAAAGTTACAATTGAGCTAATTATTTGCAGTTAAGTAACATTGTTTTATTCTTCAGTCTCCACCAAATACGTGTATAACTAGACTACCCATTCGTTCTATAGCTCACCACTTTATAACATAAATAGATTAAAAGCCAATGACATGCATAAAAATTGTACAATAGTATACTATTTCTATAATGGCTTTGACAATATTTTTTCATTGCGAGCGCTTTAAGTAACTTTCGAGAAATACTACACAAATAAAATAATCGATATTCTGCGTTGAAATGTGTACTTCTATTTATGAATACCATAAATTATTACACTTAACATACCACAATTTGCTTCAGTGCATGCAGGAGGAAAAGCCTGCTATGCTGCTAACAATAGCATTTCTTATATATGTACTTGTTGTGCCACATACCATAAATTTCGACACAAAAAGTCGCTTGTCGTCTACTCGAAAAATGTTTGAAAAAAAAAAGAAACACAAGCAAAGAAAAAAATGTTAAATTTTGTTAAAAGCCTGCAAACCACTTTGTGTGTCATCTCTTTAAATAAACAGGCCGGCTTATGTGCTTTGTTGAGCATTTTAGAATTAATTTCAGTAAATATTTTCTGACACTCAACTTTAATATTTATGCACATTGGCTCCATTTTCTAACATTTGTCTTTTTTGCGTGCGACATCTTGCTCACTCTTTCTCTCCCTCGTTTGCTTTTTGCAGCATGCTGGACGACTACGCAGGACTCGGCTGCTCGGCGCTGGCTTTTGTCCTGTACCTAAACACATTAAACGCTGGATTTGTCTACGATGACAGGTGAGAAACATTTTATTTTATTTCTTTTTTTTTTGTTTCTGCTGAATTAAAAATTCCATATGTCACCAAGTTGACGAAGGTAAACTGCTCTGTCGCTCTGTAAACGAGAAGTGTTGGTATTGTTGCTATTTTTGCCTGGACAGCGTGGCGACATTTTATTTCATTTTCGTCGCTTTATTTATATTAGTATTTTTGGAGAATTGTGAGACCCAAGTTTATTATTAATTGTGCGCCAAGTACCGTCATTTATTTGATAAAATCACAATCATAAATTTTGCTGCCTAATTGTAAAACTGAAAGCGGTCGCAACAGCAGCAAGTTTATCGTTATATATTTTGCTATTGTCAAAATCAGACGCTTGTGCTGAGCAAATTAAAAAACAAAAAGTTGATTTATGTGCCCCCCAAACACAACAACAAGAACAGCACCAACAGCAACAACAACAATGGGAGTTGTCCACTCACCTTGCATTGAAATGCGACGAACGCAAACGAAATTACCCATAAATATCAAAAGTCATGTACAATGGACAGGAATTTCCCAAAGGGACTCGCCGGCCAGCGTAACACACACAAAGCCATCGCCATCTCTTACGTTGCCATCATCATCGTCGCAGCCACCATTGCCACTGCCTTTGCCTTTACCGTAGTCGCAACTTGAAGTCAACCGGTGCACAAACAACAACAGCAACAACGGCAACAACAACAACAACAACTACTGAATCCAACTACGACGAAATACAATGAGAGCGACCGAACAATTGGAGGCTGGCGAGCAAAAGCAGCAGCTCAGACAACAGACGCACACACAGACCACAGATGGATGCGTGATACATCTATAAAACTGCACTGTCACGCAAATCACGGTCACTTAAAAAAACAAATAAATACAAATTACCAACACAGCCAAATCCCACCACACTTAAGAAGCTGAAAAAAATTTAATTCTCTCATACTAGATTATAAAAACCAAGTTTCAAGTCAGGCGGTGGAAAAATGCAGATTTTTCATACAAACTTTGGAGCCCATTTTCCCACTTTTAGAGTTAAAACTTTCCCAAACCTACACCATAGGCTACTTGCGTATAACTTACTAGCTCTTACCGTCTGAGCTGACATTGTGGGAGATCTGGTAGCTCCTTACGCTAGTATGCCAAGCCCCATTTATATTTTTTCATGAATTAAAAGTTTGAAATGGATAAATTCTTATTTTTCATACAAACATTCCACCCCCTTTTTTCATCCTAGAAAAATTTCGAAAAGCAGAGTATAGATGTATTTTATTCTTTAAATTTTTCATACAAATCTTGGAGGTCTTTTTGCCACCATTGGAGTTGGAACTTTCCAAAACCTACATATATACGATACTTGTATTTGGACTGTGCGTTGCCAGCTTGTGCTCCAATTCTTCCACCTCCAAAAATAAATGTTAATTTTTAATTATTGCAGATATAATTTGTAACTTAATTCGAACTTGATTGGCACAAACTCACATTGTGAGATTGCTGCTAGTTGATAACGAGCGTTAGCTAGTATGCCAAGCCCTATTTATATTTTTTCATGGATATAAAACAAAAGTTAGAAGAATTCATATTTTTCATAGAAACTTTCTTTGGAGTTCGAAAGGACACTTGAGCCCAAATTTCCATTTTCTAGATTTTGAAGTGCGGTGTTGACGCCTTAACCATTCACGATTATGAAATTTTTTTTTGTATTCTTTTATAGTTTTTAAAAATCAAGTTTGCAGTCGATCGTTGGAAAAATGCAAATAAACATTTGACAGGGAAGAAGGAGGCTTTAATAATGCAAGCTGTATATAAGATATGTATCAAATGTTGGATTCAGTAGGCCTTTTCGTGTTAAAACTTTCTGGCTAACTCAGGCTTAATGGAAAGAAAACTTAACTCTTGAACTATTGTATATGCTCGTATATTATAAAACTTAAAAAATCTGGTCTGTGATTGTATTCTTTAGAACATTTTATGAAATCAAGAAGACGAAGTTTTGTCTCGCGAATATTTAAAATATTTATAAAAAATTGATTAATTCCATTCTTAATTTATTTTTAATTGAAATATAACTTGATGAAAATTAATATTTTAATTACTTGATAAGCTGTTGTTTGCCAACTCAGACTTCATCTTTTGTTCTTTAAAACATTCTATGAAGTAAAGAAAATATTCGTTGCCTATTAGACTTATCTCGAGAATATTCAAAATATATATCAAAAAATTTATAAAATCTTTTAAAAAAGTGTTGTTCAACTTATTCTTTCAATTGCTTGATATGATAAATTGATAAGTTATATACATATATATGCATATTAATCTCAATTTTCGCACTCACGACGCATCTGCTCACGTACGGAGGCATAACACCACAAGAGGCCCCTCTCCAACTGGCAAAATCAGACAGAAAGATACACATAAATGGCAAGTTATGCACAAAGTGCTCAGGCTGGAGCTTGAGCTCGTTATTTTGTGCCATGTTGGTTGGTTGGCTCTGTTTTTGGCTTTTCAGGAAACAAGCACAAAACTTGCACAAATAATAAACGCAACTTATGTAACTGCGCTCCAAGCCACTTTAGGGGACAACAAGTTTTGTGTGCGAGTTTATGTTTTCATGTACGAGTATTTTCCTTCTTTTTTGTACTTTTTATTTTGCCATCTTCTATTTTTTGCTGTTGTTGTTGCATTGTTTTTGTTTTTAGCAAGCGGAAGCTGCTTTGGTCACTTTCACACAGTTGCCTGCCTTTCTGGCTGCCTACCTATGCGACAATTGTGTGCACGTTTGTCATTGTTCTTGTTGTTGCTGTTGCTGTTGTTGTAGCTACTACTGTTGTGGTTGGCCAACAACATGGCCGCAGTTGCCACATAAGCACAAGTTATTATTGTGGAGTCAAGCCAAACCGAGCCAAACAAAACATGATTTATTAAATGGCAGCATTCACTTCAATTTGTTTCCTATCAACTGGAAAAAAACGACCGACGACCGACGGCCAACGACCAACGACTAACGACCAACGGCTAACGGCTATCGGCCAACGAAGGTCTGGCCTGAAATGGCAGCGATATGCGCCTCCTTAAGTGTATAGCATGTATCTGTGTGTGTGTGTGTGTGTGTGTGTGTGTGTTCATGTGTAGTATGGTTTTTGTTTTGCTATAAGTGCGGGCAATTTTCAGCTAAAAGTTCATGGCTGTTGCTTGTTTGGATTTAAGCCCCTGTCCTGTCCTATCCTGTCCACCCTATGGCAGCAAAAAAGCATTAGTTTCAAAGAAAATTGTTGAGGTAAAAACATGAATTCTATTCTAACAAGCAACCATTTAGATGCAGGGATTACAGATTTGTCTGACATTTAAGTATGATATTTATACCAGCATACATGAATTGTATTTACGTCTGTGTGTGTGTGTGCGATTCATTATACTCTGTACATGAAATGTACAAGAGTATATTAAGTTTGCGGGAGCTGAAAAATGTAACAGGCAGAAGGAGGCGTGGCAGACCCCACAAAGTATATATATTCTTGATCAGCATGACGAGACGAGTCGATCTAGCCCTGTCTGTCTGTCTGTCCGTCTGTCCGTCCGTATGAACACCTAGATCTCAGAGACTATAAGAGATAGAGACACCAAATTTTGCACGAAGATGCGTTATGTGTGTATTCTATACGAGTTTGTTTTATTTTTTTGATTTTCCCCCCCACTTCCCCCCTATGGGGGTTTTCCCGATTTTCCATTCGTATAATCGCCTATATCTCGGAGACTATAAGACCTAGGAACACCAAATTTTAGTCCCAGATGCCTTATGTGAATACGCAGAAAATGTATATTTTGGAATTCCCCTCCCTCCCCCCTCTACCCCGCAAATCGTAACTCCCGTAATTCTTGGAATTTCGAACTAAAATTTTGGAAATACCCCCAGTTAGTTATTATGTGTCCGTATGCCAAATTTCATTATGATAGACCGATTTAACAAGAAGTTATAGCCATAAATATATTTTCTGATGCAGCGCTGCTGCAGCGCTGCCCGCGGCTGTTGTTGATGTTGCTGTTTGGTTGACTGCGAAAATGCTTACACAGACACGAATAGATGCGCATAGGCATACATACACTCACACAGGCGCAATTGCTATGTAAATGTGCAATTATAAACCCTTTACGTGAGTTCGAATACCGAGAGAGGTAAAATCGATCAAATTTTTTTTTTATTTTCTTAATTTTTTTTATTTTCTATAATTATTGTAAACATATGTACAGAGTATTTCAAAGTCGGGACACCCGACTTTAGCTTTTTTACTTGTTTTTATTCTCTTTTTTGTCTTCTTGCATATGAACAATGCGCTGTTGTGCACAAAGTCTTGAATTAATCCTACTCTACTATAAGTTGGCAAAACAAATCTTAAGAACGAAAATCACAAAAGCACATAGTCGACATCAAGTATATCTTACGAGTATATGTATTTTGACACAAATTGGGGTTGACTGCCTCAGCAAATTGGTTTTGAAAGTTTGCAAGTTTCGTTTTATTATTAATCGATTAGCAAAGCAAAGTGTTACACCCAATTTTTATCTAAATTATCCCTTCAAGTCTGATCGAAAACTAATAAAAAATAAAGTACCTCATACGCCAAATTCTATAGTGTCGTTCTAAATGGAGTTTCTGATCAGATAATCAATCATTTCATAATCAGCAACTGGCAATATCCTACATTTTTATATTTATAATGCTGTTGGCGTTAAAGCTTAGTAATGATTTAAGCTTGAAATGAATATAAACTCGCTTTTTACTGTCCATGTCGAATATTAAGCCTGATGTCTGCAACGAACGTCTTTGAAACAGAGAACAATTATAATTTAATCGAATTAAAATGAATATTGAACTAAAATCTTTGAACTTGTTAACCATTGCATTGCAAATGTGTTTCTAATTTTGGTAAATTTTTCAATGTCATGTTGTACGGAAACAGAGCTTTCGATAACGCTTCGTTTAGCTGAATGCA